CTATTCTCCATATTCAGATTGTATAATCAGTACAGCTTGTTTAAGAAAAATAAATACGATAACTAATAGTAAAAAAAAATGGACAATAAGTCATTTATTTACAGCAGTCTGAGATTGATAGGAGGGAACGAGTTGGAAGATGAACATCAAAAAGAAATAAATCTAGGACCTTCAAATGTATTCAAAGAAAACAATACTGCTAGTGTCTAACTAAAATGCCAAATGAATAAATAAGTAAGACATACAATATGTCAGACAGAGGCAAGTGCTAAGAAGAAAAATTAAGCAGGAAGAACGATCGAAAGCTGGGGAATAGAATGGGGAGATTGCCATCAGTTTGAAATGAATTCTTTTATTCCTAGAAATATATAGGGACTTGAGACATGCCTTACATACATTTTTTGAGAAGTACTGTTAAAGGTATCCTTTTGTGAATTCAAAGAGTCATGCCGCTGAAGCTCCATGGGCTGCCTGATTTTTCCCAAAGGGCTTTGCTGTGTCCCAGTTAGTTCCCAAGCCATGGAGCCCACACCCTCGGAGGTGACCCGTGCCCTCTTTATTGATTCCATACCTCCTGCTGGGTAAGGGGTCTAATGAATGTCTACAAAAAGGTCTTTCCCACTGTTCAAGGAAACTTCCTTAGGGTTAAGGAAAGAGTTATTTCCTATGTCTTAATTTTTCAAGATGAAGCAGTCGGGCTGATTTACTGATGGAGATCACCTTGGGAAGTCTGTGAGGAGAGTTCAGACCCCTAGAATTCCTACACTCCCACCCAGGAGAACCTGTTACAAGCATTCCACCACAGCCCCGGTTAATGACCATAGTGGTGATATCACCAGCTCTTGATCATAGGAGGTATAAGGTGACTATGAATAAAGTAAATCACTCAAACACCCCCTCTGACTCAGTTAAGAAGTCCAGGGCCACATCTCCAGTCCTCCCTTGTATCTCAATCAGAATCATTAAGAGCAGATTGGAGCTAGACTGTCTGCTTTCAAATCATGGCTCCACCACTTTCTGCCTGTGTCACTGTGTCACTTTGGGCAGGTTGCTTCACCTCTCTGTGCATCAGTTTCACCATGTGAAAATGGGGGTAACAAGCATATTGGTCACATACTGTTTTTGTGAGTTAAAGAAGTTAGTAAGCGTAAAGCATCTCCTACCAAAACGTGTCTACTAAGTACCTACTACGTGCCAGGCACGGTTCTTAGATGCCAGTGATTCATTTAGAACAGTACCTGGCATATAATATGAGCTCAATGTATGTCAGTATTTATGGGTCCACAAATGCTTACCTGACACTCAGATGGATTATTATTATTATTTTATAAAGGTAATAGGTTGACTATTCAACATAGTATATAAACCTCTAGGGGAGTCTGGAACAATACTCCGTGATCAAACACATTAATACTTCTAGAGTAAAACATACAAAGATTCATTCTGAGCGAGCTAAACAAACACTATCATTAGCCTCACATCACTTCAGGTCAGGATTTGCTGCCAAATTTCATGAAAATCCTTTGATTTTCAGAGCTTTTTGAATTACAGAAGAGATGGTGGGCGTATATTCATTAAGTAAGGGACTAACCCCATTGAAATCTTTTTATTTCTAACTTCAGGAGGTTCTAGCAACCAAATTTTAAAAAAGTAGCTAAGGGAGTAGATTTTAGGTGCTTTTACTACAAAAAAAAAGGTAACTATGTGTGGTGACGTGTATGTTAATTGCTTGACTGTGGTAATCATTTTATTGTGTATATGTATATCAAGACCTCATGTTATACACATTAAATATATACAATACAAAAAAAATCTATTTAGGAGTAGGAAATAGGAAGACCTTCAGACATGGAAAATCAACAACTGCATAATTAAGCTATGCCAAATATTGGTCTAAACAATCCCTCTTCTCAAATACAGTGCTCCATAGATTCTCCATTCACAAACATTTCCACCAACAACAGGTCTCAAACAATCTTTTTCTAAGTACTTTTCAAAAGCACTTTTTGAATATAGAATAGAATACTTAAATTTTATCACTATTTTAATAGCATAACCTTGTCTTTCCCATAGAAAAAAGACAAAAGCTATTAAATGACAAATGAACAACTGGTTGAAAAACATGTGCCTTAAAAGAACACAGTATCCTCTGTAGTCTGCCTGGGGGAGATGAATCAATGTTATGCCAAAGTGGTAAACCATCCTGCTACCAAAGGAATTTTCTCCACATTGCATTTGAAGGAAATTCACAGCTCTTGAAGAGCTATACAATAACTGGTTCAAGATGTTCTCACTGCTGGTCAGTAGAATGGATAAAGGATTTGCAGAAACCCGTGGAAGCCTATTTCTCCTGCCTCTTTATTGCCCCCATGTGTCGTTATTTATCTTCCCCAACTTTTCTGACCCCTTTCCATGTATTTTTTTTTATTGAAGCATTGCTTTGTTCAAGACCTGTGTTTACCACTCCCATGGCGATCCTGTACACAAAAGCAAGTCAGGAAGACATGAAACGAACGGAGATACTTATGTTGCTTCATGGTTTTTCCCCTTCTCATTATCCTCCTACTCAATGAGACTATAGTGGGAGGTCTGAATGACATTTCCAAACCAAGAACCTAAAGCTACATTTCAACACCCAACTACTCAGTTGTCATAGGAACAACACTACGAGGCTTATCTGGGTTCTAACAAACAGCCACTTGTTTCGCTAATGATTAAAACTCCCCCTTCAAATCAAATATATACACCCATACGTATACAGACCTCGAAAGAAAAAAAATTGAATTGGGTAAAACTGTATACTACACCAAAAACGTAAGAAACAAGCCCAAAGGGAAAGCATTTACATTCCTGAACATGCAAATTCAAATACTATTTCAGAGAAATTATTTTGAGGTCTGTCACTTGACCAGATCCCTTCAGTTTGTCGCTTTACATACCCACAAAGATAAAGACATATGCAAAAGGCATTAATATCTTTTAACAGGGTATACGAAAATGTGAATACTCTCAATGACCCCAGAGGAGAATTCAGAGCAAGCAATGTTACTCACTTTCGATGTACTTTTAAAAATTAATAAATTAAGAACAGAGAACGGCAAATAGAATTGAAAACATGAAGTTCTCAGATAATTCTTCTGGGATATACTTTCTAGCATTTACTGTTCCAACCTGCTTCTATCACATTTTATCATTCAAAACAATGGATTTTAAATGGATAAGGAAAACCTAAACATTAGAGGCTTTTTTCCAACAGGCACAGCAGTATTTATCCAGATTATTAAATCATCATGTTCTCCCCAAGTATTTACTTACATGAAATACAGAGTTGAAAACATAAGCTAGCAGTTGAATATAAATTACCTGTAAGTACCTTAATCTTTGTTGCCATTTTTCTGTCTTCAAGACTCTAAAAACCTATAAATTGGTGTACTTCAAGAAAACTAATGCCACACCTTAATGAAGTCAAATTGACTTGTCATATTCACAAGTTTGGATCACCAATTTCCTGACTTATTGGAGGACCTGCCCTTAAGAGCCGTGCTTATCTTGTCTATTTCTTTAAGAATAAATACTTATGCAAAAGTCTTGAGAGCTGCTAGTCTGAGAAAAGTGATCTCAAAAATTATCCAAGTATACAAGAGGAGGAAAACACAATTAATATATCTCACTAGATTCATCTCCCTCCCCCCCCATCACACTCCACTGCTAACAGAGAGAAATTTCAGCACTCCTATCCTGTTTAATTATACATTTTCCCTTTTGAGTTAAGGATTTTAAGATTTTGAAAGTAACAGAATAGAAACCAAAAGTAGACTCAACTTCCAATTTGGCTTAAAAAGAAAGAAATAATTATTATTTCCTATGTTACCCAAAATTTATTCTGTTAATAACAGTGATAATTATATATTCAAATTAATAAAGGAAGATAGCCAAAATCGCCTTAATATAATTGTCAGCAGCTAAATAACAAAATTTTTTTTCATTTGCTTCTATAAGTAGACATCACATGATTACTTCTATTGACCAATAAGAAACTAGTAAAATCAGGCAGTCACCCACCATTCTTTTCTAATATTCTTTTTCTTATTCTATTCAACCTTTTCGGTATATTCTTAAGAAGCCAAATCAAGAAATTAGACCTTCATGCCTAAAATAAAATTGTGTTACCTTATACATCATGAACAGGAACCTGTTGTATATAACACAGGTATTCAAAGCTTTATTGTCATTTTCTAGAACCCTTAAACATAAAGGCAGCTCAGATTCAAGATTAGAAAACTGAATTCAACATTTCAGGGAAAGAGAGACAGGCAGGAACATGCATACCAAACCAGTAAGAACTACTAATCATGATCTCCCAAAATGTCACGAACCATATAGATAGAAATAACCACCCTTTCCTCATGTAATCAAATAGAACAAACTTAAAATTAGTGACACAAATGTAAAAAACAAAAAAAAAATCTATTGCCATTGTAATCTACCCTTCCCAATCAGGAGGAGGTGTTTCCCATGCACTACTTGAACTTTCATTTTGCACAACTTTCATCTTGTAAGGTTCTCACTAAATACTTGACATCTTAATGCAGAGGAAAGGAAAGGAGGGCAAGTAGACTAATTCTGAAAGCATCCCTTCAAATTTCATACATGCTATTCAGATTAAATGGAAATCTACATCCATGGAAAGTTAATGTCGCAATTCTACTAAACAGCCCATTCTGATTTTATGTTTCCCCTCCACTAACAAGAAAAAATAAAACAACCAGATCTAGCTGTATTACATATGTTTAGCTAAACTGATAGCACTCAGCTCATTTTTGTTAATTACCTGGCTTCTTCTCAGTCTTTATGCGGTATTCTTGTGCTGCTCTTTTTTAGAACTCCTCACTGTTTATGTGTTCTCTGTTCAACACAGTTGTTAGGGGTCTGTGAACAATTTTTCAATTCCCACACACACATATGATATCTATTAGGGAGCAATGCCACTTTTCACTTACCAATTCTGGATAAAGGAGTATTTCCTGGTGACAGAATGCTGCTGCTTCCGTTCACTAAAACTCCCTCTTCGCAGCTTGATAAATCTGATTATAAAACGTCTTTGTTCCAGATCACACGAGGCGCTTTTCCTACAAAAGTTTTCTAAAGAGTTATCTGCATTTCATTCCTGTGACAAAACAAATCATAACAAGGGGGGTAGGGGGGGAACAGGGAATAAGTCCACACAAGTTCCTGGCAAAGATTTTAAGCTGCATTTTTCTGAGTTTAATCAGTAACCTATATTAAAGTGACAGTTACCAGTTCAGGAAGCCCAGGGTTTGATCAAGTCTGTCACAACCACTTTGACTGTCTTCCACTGGTGTGCGGACCCCAAGAAAGCAGTCACTTGGTCATCTATCACATGTGGCTGAATCACTGGACAGACACCGCCCCCCACCCCAGCCCCCGTTGAGCAGCAGCCCAGGCAGGAGAGTGGCCGGATGCCCGACCCAAGACCTCTTATAGGGACCCGCCAATTAGCTGCTGACCAATCGCAGCCAGAACCTAGTACCTAAGTCACATGATAGGGCAGTCCCTATGACTGCAGGATTTCTGAATTACTGGGGTTACACAAAGGACACTCATTCAGGAAAAGAGAAAAAAAAGCCATAAGCCAAAACAGAAAACGCCCAGGCTGCGACAACTACGGCTTTAAAACAGGGAACACCCCAGCCTCACACAGACAGAGAAAGAGCCACAACCAAGCCAGGATGAAAATCAGAAGAATGTCTGGCACATATTAAAAAATAATCCCAAAGCAGAGGCTGAGTTTACAAACCCACTTCAGCTATAAATCTACTCCTCCTTCCCCTTCCTCTATAGTCTGCAACAATTTTACATTCTAAACTTTTTAAAATGGTTTTCCTACAGCAAAACCGCTGTAGGAAAATGTGCGAGACACATGAGCCTCTCTTCCCATTCCCTCAAAATACTCCTAAAGAAGATTCAAATTTGCCATGAAAAGATTCCTAAGTGAAATACATTTCTTTTAAAATAGTCAAATAAATTAAGTGAAATTAAACATTGTCAGAACAGATTTGTATGGTAACTACCAAATCATCTCTCTCTCAATCATTTTAAGCTGTCCACATCAAGAATACTCTTGTTAAGTAAATGAGCCCACTTAGTGAAATAGATACCCATTTATTTTTATTTGAATGCCCCTAATTTTTCTCTTAAACACCTTTTATGTCCTAGGAAGAAATTCAACTGTGAACACCCCTACCATTTCTCCGACCTCCAAAAATGGTACTTACAAATATTCCTTGTTTGGATCTGTCGACTTCTTCTCCCCTCCCCCGACATTTGGAGTCAAAATATGGGCTCGGCCTCATCCTTCAAACCTAAAGGCCCTATTTTGATCATGCAAGGCTGCAACAGCTCCTTCTCCCAGGCAAGCCCAGAACACTGTGCCGCTCGCCATTCCCAATTTATGGAAGGAAGCGTATGTCAAACAAACCAGGTGATGACTCAGACTGCCTCCCCCAGCCACGTTTTCCCTAGAATAGGAGGGTAGTTTAAGTGCAGCCCATTTGGATGTGACTCAGTTTTATTAGACTGGTGGCTGTAGCTAAGCTAACAAGCTCACATTTTTTTTTTTAAATAACTTGTACATTTAGAGATCAGGACGCACATTCCAACTGGTTTCAAGGGTTGAATCATGTAAACAGGAGAGATGAAAGATTATTTTTAAGGTATGGCAACGCTCTGGCTCTATTCCCTAATATTTTAAATTTCAGAATGTGTGCCCTGAAATTTTTACAATGGAGGCAAGCAAACGTTTGAATTCACACTAGAGTAGCAAACAGGTTTTCTACATTTAGGTTTACTTGAGGTCTTTACCAGGAGGGAATTGGACTCTTTCCATCCTGAGGATTCAAGTCTCTAAGTCTGGGGCCCGCGTGGCGGGGTTCTTCAGGAAGTGGTTGGGAGCATGAGAGCCATGTTGCAGCTTTCACTTTTGCATTTACTGCAATTCACACTCTAAGCTGAGCTACTCACACACGGCACACACGTAATACAATCGCATTACCAAAAAATCTGTACAGTCCTTTAGTCTTGACCTGCCTAAAAGCTGCGAAATCAAACCTTGAAAGTCACCAGTGAAAATTCCAATTAAATAAACTGACATGCCCTAAAAGTCTTCCTCTTCAGTAAAAACTTTACTACCAAGCTGGGAGTGGCATTACAGGGAGTAAATTGTTCCCAGGTATTATGTAGACAGGAAGAATACAGTAATAAGAAGTGCAATTCCCCACATGAAAAATCTGGAAGGCTTGGACTGAGCAATTGAACTACAGTTATCTCTTTTCAGCATACTTCCTTTAACCCTGAGCAAAGTCAGCAACTGCTCTAAGGCTTGGCATTTATTGTTGATTATGCCTTGATGGATAACTAGTTTTATTATGATACAGGAAGTACATCCAACATTTGAAACACAGAAAAATGTTCAGATATCTAATTTTCAGATTGGTAGATGAGAGCACAGAAAAGGTGTACACACTGAAACCATGTATAACAGTTAATTCAGGAGTTGATTATTCACTTTATAAAAAAGACTTCCGGCAGGGTTTTACTGGAATAAACACTGCATTCAATTTACATACAGAATTGATTTTCAGAAATTAAAATCACGTGAAACTATTTCGAGTGCACTTCCAAATTATACTTTTGAATTCTAAGTATGTGTGCGTATTTCTCGGTTATTAAAACTTATTCATACTTCAACAGTAATGTATTAAGTTTTATTGGCTTAAAGACAGTTACCTTGCTAAGATACAGAACATAAAGTCTATAATTACACGGCTTTCAATGGAAATAAACACAGGCTATGAAAATAGAATGTGAATAAAATGGAACATCAAAAACTCTGGCATCTAAAAGGGCCTATGACATCTTTGAAGAGTCTAGCTTCCAGAGTCAGACTTGCTGGGGTTTGGCTTCTGGTTCTGCTGTTCCCAGCTGTGGCACCTGGATTAAAAAATGACTCTACGTTAAGGGCTGAGAACAGTGTCTGACAGAGAACTCTGGAGACATACACATCTCAGTCATTCCCTAAGTAACACTTCTGAATGAGAAAAATACGATTCCATAACTTTTTTAAAAAAAGAAATCACTAGTAACTACTTTACTAATGTTGGCAAACACGTGGCCAATCCATATTTTCCTCCTAAAGTTTCAGCAGTTGAAATACTCATCCAGTTTTACATCTGAGACCTGTTTGGGTCTTTCCTCTCCAAACTTTGTGGAGTCTCCTAAGGCCAGTGCAGAATCGAGCTGGGGCCAGTCAGAGAGGGCATTTAAGAACTCCAATTCCAGTCTGCCCAGATGTGTCAGGACACTGGAAGTGTCATCAGCCAGGAAAGAAGGTGAGTGGGTCAGAGACTGGGGGCAACACTACAGCTCTGTTGGGGACAGAACACTGCCCTTGACATTAACAAGGGCCCCTAGTCAGAGGCATGAAGAGATGGGTACAGACTCAGAAAAAAGTACCCAAGATCCACTGTTTATTCGCTCCACAGGGCCATGACATAAAACCCTACCACAATTACCCTAAGAGAAACCCAGAGAGTTGGGTGGGGAACCTCAGTATGCATTCTCCTCTATGCTGTCTTTCATTAAGAAATTTCATTTCTTAAAGGAGCAAACAGCACGCATTTCCATCTGAGAACTATATATGAAGCTGTTTCAAGCATCCCACAAACCCCTCAGTAACAAAAGCTAATCGTTTCCAGTCAGCACATAACGTATTTGAAGAATAATAAAAAGGACAGCAAGCAGGCATCATTGAGGTGCAAGCAAGCTTTATAAATATGGAATTCCTCAAATATGGTGCTTGGCACTAGTCGGGGGTAGGGGGGGAATGGGAGTGAGGAGAAGTAGTTCTGTGTTTTGTTTGAGGGCGAGCAACTGCTCCAGCTTGTCTTTACCCAGGCAATGTTTTGGAGACAGATGGTAACATAATGGGGGAAAAGCCAGCAAAATGAAGAGAGGGTGGTTGGGATTACAAATGAGTGATGGGGGAAGGCTCCATTCTGTTCCCCTCCATGTCACAGCCTGGTTTGAAGATGCACACAGACCTGATTCAACAGTTCAGTTCAAGGCTGGTTTGGAGGTCCAGCATGGAGCTTCCTGTCCACCGCCACTCCTGTCTTGGGTAAGTTCTAAAATACCAAATGATCCTATTGTGTCAGGCTCCCAAAAAACCAAAGTTACAAGTCAGGGTAAAGACAAACAGCTTGGGTTCTAACACTGTCTCTGAGGTTATTACCTGTGGGGACTTAGAAGAGTCCCTTCATTTCTCTACGGCTTTTACTTCATCTGAAGAACGGGAATAAGCAAAAAAATACAAGCAAGGAACAGAGACTGCTGCCTCAATAATGTTTGCTACCACCATCAGCTCCCTAAGGGTGAGCTGTCACCCTCAGTACTAATCTTACAGTTCCTCAGGAAAGAAACAAAAAACAATCTTGTGGCTGAGTGCAGTGGCTCACGTCTATAATCCCAACACTTTGGGAAGCCAAGGTGAGAGGATCGCTTAAGCCCAGGAGTTTGAGAACAGTCTGGGCAACATAGTGAGACCTCATCTCTACAAAAAATAATAATAATAAATTAGCCAGGCACAGTGCTGTGCGCCTGTAGTCTCAGTTACTGGGGAAGCTGAGATGGGAAGATCACCTGGGCCCAGGAGTTCAAAGTTGCAGTGAGCCGTGGTCTGTGCCACTGCACTCCAGCCTGGGCAACAGAACAAGACACTGTCGAAAAAGAAAAAGAAAAACAAACAAACAACAAAAACACCTCAAGCTGCCAAGTCACACGTTCATTTGAAGGCATACAAAATGTCTTTATCACTTATGTTTTGCAATGATCAGAAATCTTTGGATTGCTTCTATATTCACTTTTTGATTATAGCAAAGTATCCTACTTTGAAAACAAGGTTCTTTCTGTATACATTATATGTAAGATTCACAATATCAGAGGTTTTTCATAGAAATCTGCCTCCATGGCTATGTGTATGCCTCTACAGACATGCACACAAGCTACACTAGTCTTATATAAGACAATCGGAACATTTCTTTATGAGGGCTGGCCTCTCTTTCAAGCTTCTCATGTTATGTAAGTAGCCGCTTTGCCTGTCTTCCTGCAATGATTTCAGATCTAAGCAGTATACTTCGCTCAGAAAAGTTTTTATTAGTTTCTTCTCTCCCCACCCATTTTAAAGAACAAACTGACTCAGTTTTTTGATGGCAACACCACTGGGTGGGAGTGAATATGGGAGTGGGCAGGGTGGGAGAAAGGGAGGATGAGGAGGAGGAGGAGGTGGTGGGAGCCAAGAGCTGAATCACAGCCATGTGAGTAATCTTAGGCTTTTTTTTTTTTCTTCTTCCTAAGGGTATGAATCAAATTAGGCTTATTTTGCTGTGGGTGAAGGAAGAGGAATATAATAGCGTGAATCAGAGCAATTATCAAATATGCGGCACTCACTAAAAATTAATTACAATCACTGCTTTTTTCACATGTCTGCCTGAAAATGCCGGAGAGCTTTTGTTACTAATCAATATAATCCTTCACAAAAATTCTTCAGACTTTGAACTCAATTATCACCCTCTTCCCTTTAAAAATTTCCTTTTACACATGAATTTCAGAAACAGGAATTCTTTCGGAGCTTCTGTGAGATAATCTTTGGCCCTTGGAGGTAAGTGTGAAAACAGCATGGATAATACTGGGTAGAGACCAGGTTATACACTATCTGGCCATGAACACTGGAAGCAAAATACTGAATTTATAAAAACAATTGCTCAGAAAATGAGTTCAACCTCTCATGCAACAACACGCCCTCAGGGAAAAGTGGGCATTCCTTTCCTAATAGTTGGCAGTGAGAATAAAGTTGTCATACAGAACTTTTGAATTGCCTTAGGGTGAAATAAGTAGATCTTCATCAATGTAAGAATTTGCTAAGAGGAATATGAAGAAAAAGATGGATCAAAACATATAAAATCTGTTTTCTGAATTTACATAGTTATTACCAGGTGTAAAATGGCTAAGGGGGAAGGCTTGAACAACTAAAATACTATTTTAAAGGAGTCTATGCATTCGGAAGTCAAGAGGGCATATTTGAACTCTACTGAGATTCTGTTACATGTTTTACTACACAAATGAGCTAAAATACATTGTCTGCTTAGTTATCCACCCGTGATTTTTTCCTTTATTAAACGTAAGTATGGATATTCTTTAGATAAGCAAATGTTCTCTATGAATTAGTACCCTTACAGAATGTTCTACACCCAGGAGCTCAGAGAATAGAGTCTTTATCACATTGTCAGATTTTCCAAAGTTCATTTCTATTTATATAACACTGTTTTTTGTGCTAGTATCTTTACTGGGGTCTCCAAATAAATTCAAGACCACTCTGAATAAGCCAATGCTTTTACTTCTCTATTTCTATGTGTTCCTCAATTTGGAAATTTTAATCTGTAATGGTAAGCTCTTTAGGGATGATAATTTGTATGCCCAAGTTTGCATATCCCTAAGTCTGCCTATAGAACATTAACAATTTTGGAGACCTCAGTCAAAACATATTTACATAATCTACAAAGATATATCAATATTGGGTTCATATAAAATGGGCCAAATCTGTTTTCAGAACAGGTGACTTGGCTACCTCTACCCCCAACCCTCAGGTTCTCTACCACCCCACTTAAGCCAAGTTAATTGTATTGCAGTATTTGACCTTCTACCTTTCAAGTCAGCGCTCTCTCAACTAACTTCTTATGTAGTAGAAATAATACTCCCAAACCCAATTTTGTCACATCCTGACCTGCATCTATTGCAAGGGGCCGGCAGCTTGTAGAAATTTCCAGTTCATATTTTAGTTCTCTCTCTCTCTCTCTCTTTTTTTTAAAAAAATATTTCAAATAGCAATTGCAGGGGAAAATTCTCAGAGTTCCAGCCCTCTGAAGAAAAGAGTCCTTGGGCACTCTGTGGGTTTTATCTGCTCCCAAAATGCCAGATGTTTGAGGCTGAAGGTCAGGGGCAGGGGGCAGGGGTTGCCATTCTGATATTTTATCTGGGGAGAATCAGAATTTTCAAAGGCATCATTGATGCTGAGTATACATGAATTTAAGGCTGTTTGGTCTCAGCATAGTCACTAACTATGCTAACATGACGTGGTTCTCATCTAGTGATAAGAGAAAAGAATAAAAAACAGCAGCAAAGACAACTTGAAGGCCAGGCATTTGGGCAAGGACAATGATGGAAATGAGGTAGAGGTGGAGGACAATGGTGGAGTGAGAGGTGGAGGTGGAGGTGGAGGTGGAGGTGGAGGTGGAGATGGAGGTGGAGGTGGTGGTCTTGGCTGAGGTGATGTAGTGAAAGAGTCAGCGGAAGCAGAAAACAAAAGGTGAGTATTTGGACTGAGGAAATAGGGATATCAGGGCCGCTCACAATGCAGACCATACCCTAGAAGTCTGGCTTCAAGGGACAGAAGACAGTACAGGGTGTCCAAAAGTGCAAGTGAAAGATAACAAATAATAGAAATAGGAAAGAGAAACAGGGTAAGGAAGGCACTACCCTTATTTGAAGAATATAATTATAATAATGAGCTTTAGTTTCCAATCTTGTACCAAATACCTTCTGTCATATTTTTTCTGTAATGTACCTCTCTCAGCTCACCCCCTAATTTACCACCATTATCTTCTCTCTAGGATGTGGCCAAGCTATCAAAAACCTGCAGCCTGTGGAGAAGCAGCAAGTAGGAGGGAGGTCAGGAGTGGGTGGCTAAAACCACCACAAGATTTGAGAATGCAGATGTATTTAACTGAAAGGAGAAAAGGAAAACACAGAGGCACCTGTCTGTTGTCTGATCTGTGGGTAAGAAAAGTCCATCATGTGGAAACTGGACTGAGGCCTTAAGCAGAAAAGGATCTTAAGAAGAACTGCAACAGTAACCTGGCTGGGTCTTTAAGGGGGAAATCACCCTATCCAATGGGTAAGGTTGACCCTATCCAATGGGTAAGGTTGACCTCACGTCCCTTCCAACTAAGGTTCTAGATCTTTAAGTTGGTCTATTTCAAGAGGTTTTTTGGAGCACCTGAAATCACCCTAAAATGATTGCTTCAAAAGAAAGCTGTGCTGAAGCAAAAACAAATCAATTAGGAGTTTCTCTGTTGGAGAGCTTCAGGCCACTAACTCTTGAAGACATTTTAACCTGAGTGATTATTTCCTCTAGGTCATGAAAATCAATGTATTAGTCCCTCTATAGCAACTGTGCCTCTGGGCTCACCACCTGTTACCAGAAACACTCCCTCCTAAAGTGAGGTGGCTTAGAGCATAACAAAATTACCTGATCTCTCTATTCCTACTCCAACAGGTCATGGGAAAAGAACAAAATGATCTATTAAAACTGCAGCTGTGCTACAGTTATGGGCGATGTCACTGTGGGGAGAAACTAGCTGATGGATACTCGAGACCTCTCTGTACTATTTTTATAACTTCTTAGGAACCTATAATTATTTTTTTAAAAAAATGAAAAACAAAACCTGCAGCTGTCTGAAAAAATTATTTTCAAACTAATCATGAGAACCAAAAGTCAAAACTCACGACTGGATAATTGGTCCCAATTATGCTAGTTCTGTACGTAATGCTTGGAGAAAGGCTTTCAGTAAGGAAACCAAGAAATGATAGCACAAGTGTCTGGCCAAACCTCTCCCTTCTTGGTTTAACTAATAAGGAAGAGTAACATTTGTTATCTTAGAAACTAAGATGTAAACTAACAACCATAAATGACAAAATTAAGATTTATAAATTCGTTTCATCATTCTAAGATCTAGAAAAGAGATCCACCCTATTTTATTCAAGCTAAAACTCTGTTGATTGTAAGACACTTCATTATTTTATGTATCATTAGGAAAAAAACAAACTTTGCCAATTAACTATGACACAATGCCTTAAAGACAGTCTTGGGTGACAGTCAAACTAGTTCCTCACTGCTTTGTTCTGGGGGATTTGGCAATTTCTTCTGCCTTGAGTTGCATTGCTTGTTGTGTGATCAGCAGTCCTTCTGACTGTAACTCAGTAACAAAACATAACACAGTTTCAAACTCCTTCTATCTTTCTAGTTGTTGCTATGAAAGAAAAGAGAGACTTTCAATCATTTCTCCAACTATGAACATTTGCTTGACTAATATCAAATTTAGTGCCTGGTTTTCTCATGCCTTTCTGTATGCCCAATAGCATTTTGTTTCATCGCCAATAAAATCTTATTTCAATAAATGTAATCTTATTGAGAGCATATTAAATGGCAGGTACAGCCACTCTTCCATTCTCTATAGCCTATTTCTGACCAGTTTGCCTAGGAAATTCACTCAGTCATTTAAAAAATGTTTACTGAATGCTTACTAACTTCCAGGCACCACACTAGGTTAAGGTGATACAGCAATGAACAAGAGATAAATTCCCTATCCAGTCTAAAGGGGAAGGAAATACAACCAAGTAACTACATAATATGCTCCGGGT